AAGATGTTTATGGTTGAGACACAGAGTTAATGATGTTAATCAACTAAGTAAGAACTCAAAACTTACGAAAATGTCCCGGTACTTTAAGAAAAAGCATTATTATGTTTTGCTTTAAAAATAGTACACTCATAAATTCTTGCTGAAATCAATAGTAACATAGAAAAGCAGCAATACTAATAGCCTGTCACAAGCTGATTACAAGCCTCTGTAATAAAGTATACCATTCTTAATAACCTATATAACCATTTGAAATGGGTGCATTTCTCCTCTTGCTTTCTGAGGAAGGCTTACTCTAACAGAGGAACTTTCAATAAACGATCTCTTCTCATTGCAAGGCATTCCTCTTCTTGCTTCATGAGGATGCCCTACTCTGTAACTGAGTAGTCTCTAATAAACCATTATAACTTTACCATACTTTGCATCTCACCAAGAATTCTTTCCTGTGTGAGATTCAAGAACCCACTCTTGGGGTCTGGGACAAGATCATCACATCTCTTCTAGTGACTCTGCCAGGACTTCAATGAGGTGAAGTCCCAACTCAAACAAATGAGATCCCAACCCAAAGGAAACAGACTCTGCAGCACCAATTGGCTGACACAAATTCTAATTGTAAACTTTCAACAAATAAACCCATATGACCTTCACCTAGTTTACAAACAGAACATTTTCATCATCTTCAGAAAATTCACTTGTGTTTTGTCCCAAGCATCTATCTTTTCTTCCTCAACCAGAGGCTATTAATGCGTTGATTTATTTCACCATAGGTTTATTTTGCCTGAAATAATGCAACACATAAATACACAAAACACAATTTTATGTCTAGCTTTTTTCACTTAGTAGGTCTATGAGATTCATATAGTGCGTGAGCTTTAGTTCTTTGTTTCTTTGTGTGGCTGAGTTGCATTATGTTATATGAATGCTATGCAATTAATTCAAACCACTGCTTTAACCCAACATCTTTTTGTGAACTACTTACAAACTGGCTCTCAAATGAATGTAAAACATTTGCTGCTAAGTTGTGGCCTTTCAGTCTTACCTGCCTTATCTAATCATTATCAAGACAGTCACTATGAGAAAACTATTCTCTAAATTATTTAAAGTTTAAGTCCTCCAACAAAAGGAATATTAGGGAAGACATTTCACTGTTAACTCATAGTATATTATTTCCATCTGTTAACCACAATCTTAGATAAGACAGAATAGTTTAACACTGGTGTCAGTACAACATTTCATTCATTGTACATCAGTGTTAAAATATGAAAAACCAACTAATTTTAATAAAAGAAATTAAGTTCACCCATAGTCTAAACCATTTTAAAATCCACTATATTCTTCCTGGTCAAAATACAGTTACAAGTACTCAAGAAACATTCCTTTTTTCCAATATACTAATCCTGCAGTTCTGTTTGCTACGTTTTTTTTTTAAGTGAGGCTAATTATTTAGTGAATGTTGATAGGAATTATCTTCACATTTCTCTGATATAGGTGAAGATGTTATTCTCTTCACATCAAATACTCAACTCTTTCACTATGTCTTCTATCACATCAAATAATACTAAAGACTCCTACTTTATTCTGTTTTAAAGATATGTCAGTACTTCAACTCAGTGGTCCTAACCTTTTTGGCACCAGGGACTGGTTTCGTGGAAGACAATTTTTCTACAAACTGGCAAGGAGAGAGATGGTTTTGAGATGAAAATGTTCTGCCTCAGATCATCAGGCATTAGTTGGAGTCTCCTAAGGAGCACACAATCTAGATCCCTCACATGCACAATTCACAATAGGGTTTACGAAAATCTAATGCCACCACTCAGCTGAGAGGTGGCAGAGCTCATGTGGTAATGCTTGCTCACCCACCACTCATGTCCTGCTGTGCAGCTCAGTTTCTAACTGGCCACAGACCAGTAACTGGTTTACAGCCTGGGACTGGGGACCTCTGCTTTAAATGAAGTCTCTTTTTTTTTTTTTTTTTTAAACTTATGGAGGAATTGGTGAAGTAATTTCAAAAATCCAGAATATCCCTCTTACTTTAATATAGAAAAATGCTCTAAACACGTATATGTTTACATGCATTACTACTTTATTCAAACACAAAGAGCATATTTTTTAAAATTTTCCACATGTGTTTTACATTTGGCATTAAACTTCCATGAAAAATGTTGATATTAATTATTTTCACCTAACTTAGAAGGACCTCACATTGCTCTGATGCAGAAAAAAAAAAAACAGAACATATATTTTCACATGAACACCATGGATTAAGGAAAAGCAGCAACAGATTTGAAAGCTGAATTATATAAATAATATTTGCTCTTCAAAAACCTCAAATACTGTAAATACAAATGAAGTATCTATGAAATATACCTGTCAAAACATCAATGTTCTTGCTACTTTAAAACATATAAGCAAATAAATTATCTAATTATTTTGCCTTTAGATTCTGTATAAATTTATTTAGTATAAAGGCTGAAAGTGTCTGTGCTTTAGTCCTTTCTCACATAAATTCTGACACATTTAGACTTCATTTTTTATTAAATACTTCCTCACATTTATTGCATCTACAAACTTTTTCTATGAACCCCTAGGTGACTCATAAGTTTGATATTTTGAATAAAGCTTTTCACATTTTTACATCTATAGTGTTTCTCTAGTATGGGTTACCTTGAGTAAGGGTTGAGCACAGTTTAAATAATTTGCCACATTTTTAATATTTGTATGGATTTTTTTCAGTTTATATTCTCTGCTGTTGTGTAAAGCTTGAAAAATGGTTAAAGGTTATGCCACATTCTTAACATCTGTAGGGTTTCACTCCCATATAAATTATCTGATGCACAATAAGACATGGATAACAAGTAAAAATCTGCTCCATGTTTTACATTTTCAAAGTTTTTCTCTAGTATGACTTCTCTGATGTGTAATGAGGTATGACCTAGAGTTAAAGGCTTTGCCACATTCTTCACATTTGTAGGGTCTCTCTCCACTATGACTTCTCCGATGTGTAGTGAGGTATGACCTATAGCTGAAGGCTTTACCACATTCATCACATTTGTAGGGTCTCTCTCCAGTATGACTTCTCCGATGTGTAGTGAGGTATGACCTAGAGTTGAAGGCTTTCCCACATTCTTCACATTTGTAGGGTCTCTCTCCAGTATGACTTCTCTGATGTGTAGTGAGGTATGACCTATAGTTGAAGGCTTTGCCACATTCTTCACATTTGTAGGGTCTCTGGCCAGTATGAATTCTCTGATGCTGAATAACATCTGAACTATAACTAAAGGCTTTGCCACATTCTTTACATGTATAGGGTTTCTCTCCAGTATGAGTTCGCCGATGCACAGTAAGACCTGAGGAGTCACTAAAAGATTTGCTACATGCTTTACATTTATATGGTTTTTCTCCAGTATGAATTCGATGATGTCGAATAAGGTGTGAACTATAAGGAAAGGCTTTGCCGCATTCTTTACATTTATAGGGTTTCTCTCCAGTATGAATTCTCTCATGCACAATAAGATTTGAGAAACAAGTAAAAGGTTTGGCACATACCTTACATTTGTAAAGATTCTCTCCAGTATGAATTTTCCGATGTTGAGTAAGGCAAGAACTACGGCTAAAGACTTTGCCACATTCTTTACATTTATAAGGCTTCTCTCCAGTATGAACTCTCTGATGCATAATAAGATTTGAAGAACGAGCATAAGATTTGCTACATACTTTACATTTGTAAAGTTTTTCTCCCGTATGAGTTGTCTGATGTTGAGTAAGGCATGAACTACGGTTAAAAGCTTTTCCACATTCTTTACATTTATAAGGTTTCTCTCCAGTATGAATTCGCTTATGTTTAGTAAGGTATGAACTACAGCGAAAGGCTTTGCCACATTCTTTACATTTGTATGGTTTCTCTCCAGTGTGAATTCTCTGATGCACAATAAGATTGGAGGAACGAGTAAAAGATTTGCTACATGCTTTACATTTGTAAAGGTTTTCTCCAGTATCAATTTGCTGCTGTTTGGTAAGGTATAAACTACAGTTAAGGTTAAAGACTTTGCCACATTCTTTCCATTTATAAGGTTTCTCTTCGGTAGGAATGATCTGATGTTGAGTAAGGTGCAAACTATGGTTAAAGCTATCCCCACATTTTTCACATTTGTATGGTTTCTCTTCATTATGGATTATCTGCTTTCTAAGATTTGATGACTGACTAAGGTCTTTATCATATTTATTACATCTATATGAGTTTTCTCTGATATGGATGGTCTGATGTTGAATATGTTTTAATGACTGGGCACAAACTTCTACACATTTATTACATTTGTAAGACTGTTCTTGCTTCTCTTGCCCATGCATACTCTGAAGAAAGACTTTCTCAAATTCTTTACATTTGCATTGTTTTTCTAGAAAGCAATTTTCCTGATGATTTTTAGGGCTTGAGCTTTGGTTCAAGGTTTTTTCAGAATTATTGCAATGATAATTTTTCTCTCCAATAAAAACATCTCGGTACCTACTTAGAGTAGAGACCTGCCTAAATAACTCTGAAGTTTTATCATGTATGTGATGTTTTCCCCAAATATCTATTTCCTCTTGTTGATTAAACAATGATGAATGAGTAAAGACCTTCCTATATTGATCAAAGTTACAGCTTTTGGCACAAGAAGAAAGTATTTGTTGGTGAAACAAACTTTCAACAGAGGACTCATCAAATTGATCATATTTAAAAGTCTTTTCATCGTAACATCCATTGTGCCCATCACACTCCTCCCTTTTCCAATTTTTTCTTAAATGTAAATTCTCAAGATCACAGTTCCCATGTCTCCTTGATATCACTTTTTGGAATGAAGCTTCTGTGCATTGCTCTGTCAACAGGTCCTTGTTATAATGCGAAAACACATCTGAAAGATATAAAAATTTTAAGAATTCCAATTACTAGATTCAGATACATATATTTTACAAATCTAATACACAAAATTATGCTAAGTTGAGAATACAACAGTTGAGTGAAAAACCTGATGCCCTGTTTTCTCAATTGATATACAAACTTTGCTACAATAACTTTACAACAATAAAGTGGCATGTGAACTAACAAGACACCAACAGTGGAGAAAAGGGAGTGTTTGTGCCACCTGCCCTTGCCCCTCAGCAGCATCTGCATGGCGGGGAGAAATCTGTTAATTTGGGAGACGGAGAACACAGTGACTAGGGGACTACAATGAACCCAGTGCTGCCCTATCACAGCAGAGACCTGGCAGGATTCATCACCTTCTGACTTAGGAGCTGCTGGTCTCTGAATAACCAATAGTGGTACCCCAATAACACATCATGAACACTGGACTCTGAGATGTCCTGGCTTCAGGTATGACCCAGAACATCTCCCACTATGATGGGTATAGTGAAAGACACCTTCTGTTTGAGCAAAGCAGAGGAAAAAGTAAATGGGATTCTGTCTTGCACCTGAGGTAGCAGCTTGGCCACAGTGGGGTAGAGCACCAAGCATACTCTTAGGGTCCCTTAGTCAACATTTCTGGACCTGCCCTGCACCAAAGAGTAAGTCCCAGATGTGGAAGCAGCCATCACAAGCTAACTGAAGAGTGCTTGGGCGTTGGGTAAACATCAGTGATAGCCCGGTGAAAACCCCTGTGGGCTGGTGGTGGTGGAGACACAGTATGAGGCTCCTCTGCCTGCAGAAAGGGGAGGGAGGAGAGGGAAGGATGTTGTCTTGTGATTTGAATGCCAGCTTATCTGCAGTGGAATAGAACACGAGATAAACAAGGCTTCTGACTTCAGTACCTGGCTCCCACACAATCTCTCTGGACCTACCTGGGGCCAAAAGGAACTTACTGCCCTGAGGAGACACATACCTGGCTGGTTACCACCTGCTGATTGTAGAGGCCTAAGGTCTTGAGTAAACTTAGGTAGTAGCCAGGCAGTAATTACACTGGGCCTTGGGTGAGACCCAGTGCTGTGCTCACTTCAGGTCTAAATTAGCACAGTCCCAGTGGTAGGGGTAAGAGGGAAGCTTGTGTCATCCCACCCCAGCTCCAGGTAGCTCAGCATAGAGAAAGAAATTCCATTTGTCTGGAAGAAACTAAGGGAACAGAACAAGAGTCTCTGTGCTTGGTAATTCAGATAATTCATCGATTTTAACCAAGACCAACAACATGGTACCTCTATGAGTCTGCAAGAGGAACATTATTGAGTTTGAGATCCAAGTACTTTCAAATTCTGGAAAGCCTTCCCAACAAGGGTGGACATAAAACCCAAACTGTGAAGGCTACAATAAATGCCTAACTCTTCAATGCCCAGACACAGATGAACATCTACACATTAAGACCATCCAGTAAAATATGGCCTAACAAACTGAATAAGGCACAAGATACCAATCCTGGAGAAACAAAGTAAGTAACTTTTCAGACAGATAATTCAAAATAGTTGTGTTGAGGAAATAAATTCAAGATAAAATAGAGAAGGAATTCAGATTCTCGCAGGTAAATTGAACAAAAAGATTGAAATGATTAAAAGGAATCAAGCAGAAATTGAAGTTATGGAAGATGAAAGGCATATCTCACATGGCAGCAGACAAGAGAAGAGAGCTTGTGCAGGAAACTCTCCTTTATAAAACCATCAGATCTCGTGAGACTTATTCACTATCATGAGAATAGCACAGGAAAGACGTGCCCCATCATTCAATTACCTCCCACTGGGTCCCTCCCACAACACATGGGAATTGTGGGAGCTACAATTCAAGATGAGATTTGGGTGGGGACACAGCCAAACCATATCAAATGCTAATGAAAAACACAAAAAAAGTTAAAAGTATAAATGTTACTGGAAATGGTAAATACACAGTGAAATTCAGAATACACTAATACTGTAACACTAGTGTACAAATCACTTTTAACTCTCATATAAAAGCTACAAAGTAAAAGCATTAAAATAAGTATAGCTACAATAATTTGTTAATGAATACAAAGTATAAAAAGTTACAAAGTATTATATATATAGTAATAAAATGTGTGAAAGGGAGAAAAACTGTCGAGTTTTTTTCCACGGATAGATGTTAAATTGTTATCATCTTAAACTAGACCTTTACAAATATAAGATATTTTATCTAAGTCTCATGATAACCTCTAGGAAAAAAATGTAGTAGATACACAAATGGAAAAAGCCATCAAAACATAAAAACAACAAAAACAAATCCAAAAATTAACAGAAGACAGCATGAGAAAAAAAGAAACTATAAAACAGAAAACAACAAAACTATAATAGTGAGTCCTTATGTATCAATAATTACTTTATATATAAAGAGATTAAATCATCCAATAAACAGATACTGGTATAGACTGAATGTCACCTCCAAAATTTTAGGGTAAAATTTAATAGCCATTGTGATGGAATTAAAAGGTGGGATCTTTAAGAAGCGGTTAGGCCACTGGGACTCAGCCCTGATGAATTAATTCATGTCCTTATGGGAGTGTGTTAGTTATCACAAAAGTGACTCTGTTGTAAAAGGGAGCTTTCTTCTCCCTCAGGTCTTTGGCCATGTTATTATGCTGCAAAAATGCTTTCACCAGGTAACAGTGTCATTTTCTTTGCCTTCCAAGCTCCTGGAATCATGAGCCAAATAAACTTCCATTGTTTATAAATTAGCCAATCTATGGTATTCCATTACAGAAAACAAAACAGACCAGAATAAACACAGAGTGGCTAAATGAATTTGTTAAACTAACAGTATGCTGCTTACAAGAGATTCACTTTTGAATTAAGGACAAACAAAAACTTAAAAGAATAGAAACCATATTGCATGCAAACCACCACCAAGAGTCAGGAGTGGTTGTTGGTTGTATTAGACAAAACAGACTTACATGCAAAAATCTGTCACAAGAGGAAAGGAGTTCACTACATGATGATAAAGAAGTTAATCTGTTAAGAGGATATAGAAATTAAAATTATGTATGCACCCAACACTGGGTGAGAAAATAAAATGCAGTAACAGGGAATTTCAATGTCCTACTTACAACAAAGCATGGAATATTTAGAGAGAAAACTAATAAAAAAAAGAGTTCACCTGAATAACACTATAAACTAAATAGACAATATTTTATCAAACAGTATGAGAATACACATTGTTCTCAAGAATACGTAGGATATTCTCCAGGATAGATCATATGTTAAACCAAAAATAGAAAACAAGTTTTTTTAATTTAAGATTAAAATTATATCAAGTTTTTTATCACAATGGTGTAAAACTAGAAAATCAACAGCAGGAAGAAAACTAGAAAGCTCACAAATGTGTGTGATACAGTGCGAATGTTTTGTCTCCCACCACAAAACTCACATTGAAAAGTAATCCCCAATGTTGAAGGTGGAACCTAATATGGGGTGTTTGAATAATAGGGGCAGATCCCTCAAGTATTCTTCGGATCTGTCCCAGATCTTACGAGATCTGGTTGCTTAAAAGTGTGTAGCACCTCCCAACTCAGTCCTGTGCTCCTGCTCTTGCCATGTGACTGCCTGTTCTTCCTTTCCCAGTTCCCCTGATTGCAAACTTCCTGAGGCCCTCGCCAGAAGCCAAGCAGATGCTGGTGCCATGCTTCTGTACAGCCTGCAGAATTGTAGGCCAATTAAATCTCCTTTCTTTATAGAATGGACTAATACAGTGTTGACATTAAACAACATGCTTCTGAACAACCATGAAATCAAAAGGGAAATAAAAAATTATCTTGATACAAATGAAATTGGAAATGCCAAGAAACCAAAACTTCTGAGATGTAACAAAAGCAGTTCTAAGACGGAAGTATAAAGTGATAAAGTTCTACAATAAGGAAAACAAAGATCTTAAGCAATCTAACCGTAATCCACAAGGAGCTTGATCAAGAACAACAAAATAATCCCAATGTTGGCATAATTATGGAAATAATAAGGATTAGAGCAAAAAGAAAATAGAGACCAGAAAAATAAAAAATATCAAAAAACTAAGAGTTGAGTCTTTAAAAAAAAAAAAAATGAACAAACTTTTCCTAGATTATCCAAGGGAAAAAAAGAGAGGGGACTCAAAAAGTTATTAATGAAAAAGTAGTCCTTCCAGCTAGTATCACAGAAAGAGAAAAAATAAACTATTATGAACAATTACATAACAACAAAAGATAACTTGGAAGAAATTGATTCTCAGAAAGAACACCACACTGTGAAGAAACAAAAACACCCAAAAGACTAATAATGAGAAAGAAGACAGAAGTACTCAGAAATCTCCCAATTTAAAAAAAAAGCCCATGACCAAATGACTTCATGGGTAAACCGCACCAAACATTTAAAGAAGCAATGTCAACACTTCCCAAACTCTTCCAAAAAACTGAAAGAAAAAAGCACTTTCAAACTCATTCTATGAGGCCACCAACATCTCATACTGAAGCCAGTAAGGAAGGACACTACAAAAAAGGAACAAAACAATATTCCTTATAAAGATACAAGCAAAAATTCTCAACAAAATACTAGATACCAAATTCAAAAACACATTAAAAGGATCAGACATCATTATCAAGTAGGATTTATCCCTGAGATGCAAGAATGTTTTAACATACACAATTTAAATGATATACCACAATAACAAAAAAAATGAAAATCATATAATCGTCTCAAAAAATTTATTAAAAGTCTATGACAAAAGTAAATACATTTTCATAATAAAAACTCCAAACAGCATACATACAAAAGTATCCATCTCAACAGAGTAAACAGTGAAATGCTGAGTTTCCTCTAGTATCAGAAACAAGACAGGGATGCCCAGTCTCAACACTTCTATTCGACATAGTAGTGAGAAATCAAGCCAGAACAATTAGGTAAGAAAAAGAAACAAAAAGGCATTCAAATCAGGAATAAAGAAGTAAAATTCTCACTGTTTACAGACGAAATGATTTTAAAATACAGAAAACCATAAAGACTATACCAAACAAACAAACAAAAAATAGAGCTAATATATCCATTCAGTAAAGTTGAGGCCACAAAAATATACAAAAATTAGTTGCATTTCCATATACTAACAATAAACTATCTGAGAAAAAAGTTACAAAAAAATCTTATTTATAATAGTATCAAAAAATTTTTGAAAATTTTATAACTTCATTTAACAAAAGAAGTGAAAGATCTGTCCAGCAAAATCTATAAAACACTGATGAAAGTAATTGAAAAAGACACAAATGGAAAAATATCCCTTCTTAATGGATTGGAAAAAATAATATTGCTAAAATATCCATACTTCACAAAGTGATTCACAGATCCAATGAAATATGTATTAACATTTTAATGGCATTTTTCACAGAAATGGAAAAAATTATAAAACTTCTATGGAATCACAAATAACTCCAAACAGCCAATGCAATCTTGAAAAAGAAGAATAAAGCTAGAGGCATCACACTTCTTCATTTCAAACTATTACACAGCTATACTAATCAAGGCTATGGTACTGACGTAAAAACAGACACATAGACCAATGGAATAGAATACAAAAACCAGAAAGAAACCCATGTGTATACAGTCAACTAATACTTTGACAAGGGCACCAAGATACACAAAGGGGAAGTATAGTCTCTTCAACAAATAATGCTGAAAACAAGTAGTCATATGCAAAAGAATAAAACTGAATACTTATAACATGTACAAAAATTAACTCAAAAGGATTAACACTTAAATACAAAACTAGAAACTGTATAACTTCTAGAACAAAGCATAAGGAACAATCTCTTTGACACTGGCCTTGGCAGTAATTTTTCTGGCTATCACATCAAAAAATCACAAGCAACAAAAAGCAAAAAATAAAAGCAAGTAGCATTAAATTAAACAAAAAAGTGTGTGCACAGCAAAGAAACACAGAACATGAAAAAGCAACCCAGGGATTGGGAGAAAATAGATCTGATAAGAGTTTTTATATCCAAAATATTAAGAATCTCACACAATTCGATACCAAAAAAAAAAAATTAATTTGCAAAGCACTCAAGTAGAAATTTCTTAAAATATGACATGGAAGTGGCAAACAGGTTTATGAAAAGGTTCTCAATGTTATTATTCATCAGGAAAATGCAAGTAAAACCTCAATGAGCTATCACCTCACACTTGTTAGAACAACTGCTGTCAAAGGCAATAAATATTCACACTTGTTAGAATGACTGCTGTCAGAGTCAAGAAATATTAATAATAATAATGAGAGAGCATGGAGAAAAGAAAACCCTTGGATACTGTCAGTGGAAATGTAAATTGATTCAGCCATTATGAAAAATGGCATGAAGGCACCTCAAAAAAATTAAAAATATAAGTATTATATGAACCTTCGATCCTACTTCTAATTGTTTAACCAAAGGAAATAAAATCATATGTCAAAGATATATCTGTACCCCTATGTTCACAGCCAATTATTCACAATATATAGATTATTATTCAGACATAATGAAGAAGGTACTCCTGCAATTTCTGACAACATGGATGAATAAACAAGGTGAACATCATGGTAAAAAGTACAAACTTTCATTTATAAGATAAATTCTGAATATCTAATGTACAGCATTGTAAATATAGTTAATGATACTCTATAGTAGTAGTCCCCAAACTTTTTGGCAGCAGGGACCAGTTTTATGGAAGACAATTTTTCCGCAGATGGAGGTCCAGTTGGGGGTGGTTTTGGAATGAAGGTGTTTTACCTCACATCATCAGGCATTAGATAGATTCTCATAAAAAGCACACAACCTAGATCTTTTGCATGCACAGTTCACAATAGGGTTCACACTCCTATGAGAATCAAATGCTGCTGCTGATCTGAGAGGAGGCAGAGATCAGGCAGTAATGCTCCCTGGCTGAATGGTCACCTCCTGCTGTGTGATCAGATTCCTCACAGGCCACAGACCAGAACTATAGACCCCGGCACTATAGTATACTTGAGATTTGTTAACAGTGTATATCTTAAGAGTTCTCATCATAGACACAAAAATTGGCATCTAATGTGAGGTGACTGATGTGGTAATTAACTTTGCTGTCTTAGTCATTACACAATGTGTATGTATGTCAAATCATCAAAATTTGAAATAGATACCATTTATATTTGTGGAAAGAATCATATGTCTAGAAGGAAAAAAAAGGAACTAAAGGACATATTCTCAGTAAGTTTCATACTGAACCAGACAAAATTAAAGAATGATAGTTATTAAGATATAAGGCAACAGTTTAGAGTTTATTATATAATGGACAATGTTATAAGCTCCCCATAGACAAAAATTTAGATAATAATTCTACATAATAAGTAATACACATTAAACTATTTAACATTTGTGGAATTTGTGCCTATAGAGTTTAAATTTCTCATCTTAGCTCAGGCAAGGAAAAATGAAAAGTTGAAGTGAAACATGATTAGATTTTCTTAGATTTGGAAAGATGTTTTGTATTTTGATAAAATTACTGCATCTTAATTTCTGTGGGATCACCTCGGAAACCACAATAGGATTAAAAATTAATATATCAGAAAATATGTGACATCTAACCACAGAATTCCTGGGACTTCTGAAAAAAAATTTCACTGTCCATCACTCCCCTCACACACTTCTGACATGAAGCAAAACCAGAACTTTAGATGTGGTTTCACATAGAGGTAGAAACATGCACCGACTTTCTCAGAGCCCCCAAATCAATGGAAGAACAGTCAGATCACACAGGTCCTCACAGGCCAAGGGGAGCACTTTGGCTGTCACTGTGAATATGATGGTGGATCACAGAAGAGGAAGGAGAATCATCAGATAATTTAAGAGCATGTGACAGAAGATGTCCCTCTATGACAGCAAGGGAAAGAACCCAGGCGTCTCAAAAATCATTTCCATTGGAGAGCTTCCCAATCCACACTTCAAGGTCTGGTTCTTTCTTGACCACTGGACCTCTCACCCATGTCATCTACTTCATTCGCTCCCACCTACCTGGCTGGACGGCTACTGTCTCCTCACGCTTCACATTCCAGGGCTCTTTCCTTTGCTCCAAAAAGGTGATCAGGTCCGGTTTAGAGACAAGAAGACCTGTTTCATTGGAAAAATTCACATGACTCTTACTGAGGGTTCTTTTTATTTTTTATTTTTATACTTTTTTTTGGCCCCACAGGACAGGATTAATTTCTAAGTGAGTACTGTGCTCAGCAGAAAAAGGAAGACATTATAGAAGATTCTTGGGAAGTATTTATCAAAATACTGTTTCCTACCAGCTTCTTTACAATATTTAGGAAGCATTTAAAATTTGGGGATCCTGAGCTTCTCTTGCAAATCTGACTGAATCAAAAACCAAAAAATTGGATTTTAAAGTGTAAGCAACAATAGTTTATGTCAACCAATTTCTAGAATCACAACTAGAGTGAAACTTGTACATCACCTCAAATAAAAAGGCAAATGTCAAAATCAAACATTATGAAATTTTTTCTGCATCAACAAAACCCCTATTTTTTTCCTGAAAACAAGAATCTGAAACTAACTCATACAAAGCACAAGATCCCAAGGGACATTCTGAAAAGAAAAGAAATAAAATTCTTAGTTATTAGATATTCTGAAGGCAAGTTATCCTTACCCAGAGAGACCAGGTTTCTGTAGTTTTCTAACATCACATCCTGATACAAATTCTTCTGAGCTGGTTCCAGGTGTTCCCACTCCTCCAGAGAGAATTCTACGGCCACATCCCTGAATGTCAACAGTCCCTGAAATAAAAATAAACAATACACTGACCATGTGGCCATGGCAGAGTTCTTTATTTGTCTCAAGATGAAATGACAGTTATTGGTTCTGACTTATATGAGTGACCTGAGTTATTCAGTAAGATCATTTTTAACACAGTAATATTTTCTAATGTAGTCTCAAACTCTGTGGAAAGAGAATAACATAAAATTCACAAAACTAGTGTAGATATTTATATCAAATGTAAAATATAAAACTAAGGCATCAACACAGGAATATACATTTTTGGGTGCTATATTTACATCATCCAGAATCAGCTGTGTATAACTCTCAGATGGAAAAGTCATGGTGACTGAGAGGCATATTTCTCAAATTGTATACAATAAACTGGAGATCTTCAAATGCAGAGTCTGATTCAGTAGATCCAGGTTTTGAGTTTCTGCATTTCTATATTTTTTAATTTTTAATTTTGACACAGGGTCTCACTCTGCCACCCAGGCTGGAGTGCAGTGGTAGAATCTTAGCTTACTGCAGCCTCAACCTCCTGGGCTCAGGTAATCCTCCTGTCTCTGCCTCCTGAGTAGCTAAGGCTACAGGCATGAGCCACCACGGCTGGCTGAGTGTCTGCATGTCTAACAAGTTCACCGGTAGTGTTAATGCTTCAGGCCCAGAACCCACTTTTGAATAGCATAGAGGTTGAACACTGAGGAAAGAATTCAGGCATGATGTGAAACTGAGAATTTTATGAAATTTACAAGTTACAACAGCTAGAATGGTAGTAATCCTTTTTGAACATATACTGTATATCCGATGTCATACTAACAGTTGTTTACATATACAAAATCCAATAAGTAATCTATGAGAGCCAAGATGGCCGAATAGGAACAGCTCAAGCTTCCAGCTCACAGCATGAGCGACACAGAAGATGGGTGATTTCTGCATTTTCAACTGAGGTACCGGGTTCATCTCACTGGGGCGTGTCGGACAGTCGATGCTGGTCCGCGAGTGCAGCCCAACCAGCAAGAGATAAAGCAGGGCGGGGCATTGCCCCCCCGGGAAGTGCAAGGGGGAAAGGAATTCCTTTTCCTAGCCAAGGGAAATTGAGACACACAACACCTGGAAAATCGGGTAACTCCCACCCTAATACTGTGCTTTACCAAGGGTCTTAGCAAACGGCACACCAGGAGATTATATCCCACACCTGGCCCAGAGGGTCCCACGCCCAAGGAGCCTCCCTCATTGCTAGCACAGCAGTCTGAGATCTAACTGCAAGGTGGCAGCGAGGCTGGGGGAGGGGCACCCACCATTGCTGAGGCTTAAGTAGGTAAACAAAACCACTGGGAAGCTCGAATTGGGTGAAGCCCACCACAGCTCAAGGAGGTCTGCCTGCCTCTGTAGACTCCACCTCTGGGGACAGGGCATAGCTAAACAAAAAGCAGCAGAAACCTCTGCAGATGTAAAAGTCCCTGTTTGACAGCTTTGAAGAGAGCAGTGGTTCTCCCAGCATGGAAGCTGAGATCTGAGAATGGACAGACTGCCTGCTCAAGTGGGTCCCTGACCCCTGAGTAGCCTAACTGGAAGACATTCCCCACTAGGTGCAGACCGACACCTCACACCTCATACAGCTGGGTACACCCCTGAGACAAAGCTTCCAGAGCAAGAATCAGACAGCAACACTCGCTGTTCAGCAATATTCTATCTTCTGCAGCCTGTGCGGCTGATACACATGCAAACAGGGTCTGGAATGGACCTCAAGCAAACTCCAACAGACCTGCAGCTGAGGGTCCTGTTAGAAGGAAAACTAACAAACAGAAAGGACACCCACACCAAAACCCCATCAGTACGTCACCATCATCAAAGACCAAAGGCAGATAAAACCACAAAGATGGGGAAAAAGCAGTGCAGAAAAGCTGGAAATTCAAAAAATCAGAGCACATTTCCCCCTCCAAAGGAATGCAGCTCATCATCAGCAATGAAACAAAGCTAGATGGAGAATGACTTTGAAGAGTTGAGAGAAGGCGGCTTAGGCTTCAGTCTATCAAACTTCTCAGAGCTAAAGGAGGAACTATATACCCAGCGCAAAGAAACTAAAAACCTTAAAAAAAAAAAGAAGGGATGAATGAATAACTAGAATAATCAATGCAGAGAAGACCTTAAAAGAACTGACAGAGATGAAAACCATGACACGAGAACTACATGACAAATGCACAAGCTTCAGTAACCCACTCGATCAACTGGAAGGAGGAGTATCAGTGATTGAAGATCAAATGAATGAAATGAAGCGAGAAGAGAAGTGTAGAG